CCTGCAATTTTAGTGTCAGGGAATCTGACATTCTCTTCTGCACCCCAAGAGCAACTTTACTTATATGTGTGCATGCATACCTATATACAAATTAAAAATAGAATATGCCTTTAAAAATGTTTTGTCACATGAATGAAAGTTAAATTGTATTTAATTTTTAAAGGAGAAATCATGGCAGCTCTGTGACTTTGGTTCAACTCATTGGACTGTGGATTCTTTCTATAACTTGTAAGAATAAGGACAGACAAGTGTAGTCATCAGAGAAGGGACCCCATTACAGTAAATTATTCTAGAAAAAGTTCAGAGACAAAAAATGGTATGGATTATCACAAAAGACAAAGATGGTAAGACTGTGTATAATGAATGTCTGAATTCTGGAATGTTGAGGCAGGCATCCAATAAGCTGTCTTAGTGTGAATTATTGATTTCTTCAACCTAGTCTCAATAACTATATGAATCCAGAAGAGTAAATGATTGGGTGCAGTATTTGAACCCAGTATTTTATGATGTCAAAGTGCTCACTACAAACAAAATTATAGGATTAATATAATAAGTCAGAAAGAAGTGTAGTGAATTAAAAAGTCTAAGATGCTATCAATACCTTCATTGGGCATGTGTTTGCTGAATACTTTTTATTTGATTTTATTTGTGCTTATAATATAAACTTTAATAAAAATCAAATCCTTATAATTTCAGCTTCTACAATCTAAATTACACACACACACACACACACACACACACACACACACACACACACACACACTATATGACTGTGATGTCAAGATCCAATAGTGGTTGTAGAAAGAATACTAAATCATAACACATTTCTCATTAACCATAGTTTTTTAAAAAGTGGCTTGATTCATAGAATTTTCTAACAAAAGTCTTCATGCTATTTGGAGGACTGTACTCTTTTGATCATGACTTAATTTACTGAGTTTTTACTACATTCAAAGAACTTTTTCTATCATTTACATGCTGTGCATTGTGTGTGTGTGTGTGTGTGTAACCACATTAGTGTGCATGAATGAAAATGTGTCCATACCACAGAGTATTGGTGAAGGTACATGAACAACCTCTAGTGTTGTTCTTTGCATTTTACCTGACTTAAACAAAAAGGATCCCTATAATTCTTCCACTGGGATAGCTGGCCTGCCAGCTTTCAGGAATTCCTGCCTCCACATCCCATTTCCTGTAAGAGAGAGGAACGCTGTATGTCTAGTTCTCACACAGGGTTTGAAGATTCAAACTGTCATTCTTAAAGTGCTTTTACCTAGAGGGACATCTCTCCAGTCCACATCATTCTTATAATAGTTATAGTGCCCTAATTTATGAATGTAAATCTAAACTTTGGATAGTTTAAAAAATGTTCTCAAACTATTCCACAAGTGAGGAAGACAGATTCAAATGTGGTCTTGCTTGAAATCTTCAAAAATCATGTATTAAAATCAATTGGTTGGCATTATTTTTCTAAAACTTCTTGTGTAACACTCAGGGAATTTAAAAAGTGAAGGAGTATGATTCTTGATTTATGGGGACAGCTGAAGTCATAGCTCTAGAGACTTGAGTCTCACACTAATCTACTCCTGGCCTATGAGAAAAGAACAACTGGATGCTTCCTCTACCTTACTTCATAAATGTGATCTTGGTCTGATTTGACATTCCTGTCTCAGAGTGTGTGAACTTGTAGGTATGTACAGAATCATATTTGTGGTAGTAACAAAATGAGGAAAATCCTGTATGGGGAACATAAGAACACTTAGAAAATGAACATTACCATGTTTACTTTCAAAACTAGAGCTAATTCAATAGACAAAATGATGTGGGCATTTGTATCATCAAAAAGGTACTTTCCATAAAACACAAGCAGCTTCAGATCAAAGAGGCACTGAACATCCTCATAATGATCACGATCACATTACTTCCTTTTGTGTGACTACAATCAAGTTAAATTGTTCTAATCATTTTTTGTTTAAAAAAAAAAAAAGAAGAAGAAGCCCAAGGTAGCATGCTATGCACCTTTATCACTCCAGCAACTTAAACTTATCAAGAAAACATAACATATTGGAAGTCTGTTTATTTGAGAGATTTTGTTTTGTTTTGTCTTCTTTTCCTTCTGTGTAAAGACTTCATTCCAGAAAGAGATTGCAAACAATTTTCTGAATTATATTGTGATGGTTGCTCATCACTTCAATTAGCCACTGTTCAACTTTGAAACACCCCATGGCCCATCCACTCCCAACTATTTACAGCTCCTCACATGTTTCTGTGTGTGTTATCTACATGCTCTCCTCCTACCCATCATGCCTTGCTCTCAGCAGAATGACTGACAAAATTCTATTAGCTGTTAAGATTCAAGGCAGAGGTGACTATACAGTAGAAGATCTCTTGGCCATTCTAGGTACAACCAGCTGGTGCTTCACTTATTCCTTTTGAAATTACAGCAAAATTACAGTAATGCCTTTCATAAAAGCCCTTTACAAGTCCCATCATACTTTATACCACTCACTGGTATAATTGTCTGTGTCTTGACCTACACTAGAAGTCTTATAACAACAAGAATTATTTTCAGTTAATCTAAGACTTTAGCACAGTAGCATCTAAGACTTTAGCACAATACACAAAATATACCTGTAATTTAAAAGATAATTGAATTATGGTGACCCTCAAATAATGGTGACCATTTTAATATGTATGGGAGAGAGAGAGAGTAATGCATACTAGTTGTTCAGCTTTAATGTTGTTTGATTGTTATGTGAAATCATTTAAAATATATTAAAATATATCTTTCCAAAAAATCCTTTTGGCTATAATATCATCTAAATCTAAACATAAAATTTGTCAAGTAATCATTTGAGAGTAAAACATGATATTAATACTTTATTTTGCATAGAAAAATAAATTTCACAAGAGACATTATTAATCTTTACGATATAACTACCTTAAAGTTTTGGGTCAGTGTAACAAATATCATTTAGAATTATGTCAGATATGAAAAACTACACACCATAAGCAAGGCTTTTTCAGAGCTCTTCAGACAAATAGTGCTAAGTAAAATTGACATAAAATCAATTATATTAAAACATAAAAATAAAACATTAGGTAAGAGTTTATTGTAGCAAATCTGGTGGAAAACCAGGTGAAGACTCTTTAACAAACTTTCCTATTTAAAAACTCTTTCACAAACCTTCCTATTTCAAAAGAGACACATACAAAATAAAATTATAAATTAGTGAAATACAAAACCCAATTATATATATATATATATATATATATATATATATATATAAATAAATAAATAAAAGTGCATGCACACCTAAAATTGAATTTACTCATAAACAAGTAAGTTCATGATTGTGTCAGAAAGTGTCAGAACTCAACACAGGTTATAGAAGGGATTAAGGATTTAGTATCTAAAGGTCATCCAGGTTCAGCAGAACAAGTCTTCCTTTTGCTTATGAGGTGGGGTGAGACAAATTCTAATCTAAAACTAAAACTATCAAGACAACTGTTAGAAGTTACAAGAGGGAGGGGCTTTCCCAAAGAGGAAATCCAAGCCTGTTTTCCTGGACTTCTTAAAAGTAACACTTAGTTATCAATGTAAGTGTACCTTAATGCCAGTTACCACATTTCTTCTGAAGGAAGCACCTTATGCTTTTGAAAATGAAGACAGGGGAAGACAAGAACTCCCCCACTTTCCAAAGCAAGAAAATTGACCATAATTTGAAATAGAGGCACTAGAGCAACCAGTATTGGTGTTAGGGTATATGCCCCATCTTTTAAACCTATCATGATGTTTATTAACCCACCATGTTCACTTCAAAGGTGAATTCTTAAAGTAGTAAAAACTAAATTGTACAGAGCCCTGCTTCTAGGCTGCAGTGGCATGAGACCTGGCCAACCATGGAGAACCAACTACTACCTGTTTGAAGTTCCAAGGCAAAGCAAGGTTTGCAAAAGTGAGCAGCAGGGAGCTGTCCAATAAAACTTGTAAACAAGCAAAATGAAACTTTAGTGCCCAGACACTTTAAAACATCCCTCTACTAAAATAAAAAGGGAAACACCTCACAGTGACTTTTCTTTTCCAAAAGTCCTATTTCAGGACTTAAACTGCTTTTGACTTTTTTTTTTTTTCTTCCTAAAAGACAATCACTTATTTTTGGACCTGTTTCAATAAAAGATATAAACTCAAGCAAAGAAAATTTAACTCGGGATGTAAATTCACTTAAATTATGCAAGTGGAATTCCACAGCTGCTCTCTTATGCTCCTTACTGAATGAATAGTGTCAGATAAACCTCTCCATTAATAACGTCCTCCCCGTGACAGGTGACAAGGGGTAAATCTCCCAAACTTAAGCTCAACTTTGGAGCCTTATTAGCTAGAACAAGTGAATGTCAGCGAGGTGAGAGCACTGGGCAGCGACACCCACACAGCCTAAGGCAGCAACCCACCCTGGACTGAGAATCTGTGTGATTAATATCACCAAATTCCTGATGCTCATCATCCTCAGTTCAACACACCGGATGCTGTGGTACCCCACAGATCACATCCTAATGCCATTCCAGCCGCTACATTCAAACCCCAGAGCTCCTAGAACAATGAAGCTGCAGGAACACCAGCAGCTTACAGCACTTTCAAACGCAAAGACTAAATCCTAATTTACAGCATGATCCATAGCTTGTTACCTCCGCTGATTTCTTGGTGCTGGCCTACCGAAATAATTCTCATCTTTTCCTCCCCCCCCCCTCCACCCTCCAAGTGTGAGCCTGAACCTGAATTACAAACAGTTAAACCTGAAGGTCACTTCACAGCAGCGTTCCTACACGCTCCCCCAGGGAGGCTGCAAGGCAACAATAAAACAAAGCCTTCGCAACCACCTGTAATAATCTGCCTGCTCAGCCGGCCATCCGAAAAGTCCTGGTGCCACACAAGGTAGACATTTTTTTGCAGCTGGTTTAACATGTACATCGTGCCCAGTTGCCGTCTCGCTTCCTCTTACCTTCACGTTAGTCCGGAGTGCACAATAACATGCAAAGAACATTGCAGTAAATAAGGGGCATATGGGCCGGTGATCAGCTTCTCAGCACAGCGCAAGCCCCACACACACGATCCTGGGCATGTGCTGCTAAGGAGCATCCGTTCCCTCTGTCAGTTTGAAAATGCATTGATCCCTGTTTCCTCTGACTACAAAACGACATGTCTTGAAGGCACTGAGTGAGAGCTCAGAATCTCTTCATTGGCTATATATAGCATTGTGCCCAGTAATTTCAATTAGCTGAGGATTCAGCATCTGAAAGTTAGGACCTCAGTTGCTTTTCCTTCTAGCATTTTAAATCACTGGGTTTAAAAAAAAAAAAAAAAAAAAAAAAAAAAAAAAAAAAAAGGAGGGGGGAATGAGCTCACCCAGGAAGGAGGGGGGAAAGGTGAAGAATTGAAATTTAACCAATGAGTTACTTATATTTCTGAAGAGCCCAAGTGTTGTCCTATTAGATACTTTACCATGGATTACACCGGGCAGACTGTAGATGAAGAGGGAACCCTTTTCCTTTTGTAGCCTAATAGCTCTGCACTACATTTCAGGCTTTTCTGATGCAGTACCCTGTTTGGCAAATACTACAAACCATCGCCAACACGCCTCAGTCTTCTATTCCTCTGTGTGGAAAGGAGAAGGATCACAAGGTTCACTGTCTCATAGATTCCTCTAAAGCCTAAGCAGGGTCCTCCAGGGGTCTTCTGCTATTCCAGAAGTACCACCTCTTACTGCCCTACCCTGGAACACCATCAGGTCTATCTTACAGGGATATATAAAGTTGCTAGGCTCTCTAATAAAACCGTGCATCCAATTCCCCGAAGCTATGCTTTGTTGGTAAATGACAATCAGCAATACACGATGGGATTGGAATGAAACAGGAGATAACTCAACCTCAGAGCAGCAGCAGGAGCTGATGTGAAATGTCCAGATCGTTCTGGAGGCAAAGAGTGAGGGAAGGAGGTAAAGAAAAGCTTCTGTTTCCATGAATCCATGAGAGGGGAATAATTAATTAAAAACCATTTCAGATCCTACTGTCTGTTACCAGCCTTGACAGGCAACAGATATTGCAAATTAATTGGATTTTTATTCAACCAAGAGGACTAAGTCCAATGCAGGTTTCTAAACTCTTTTCCCAGCTTTAGGAAGCCCTAATGCTCAGTTACAATACTAAAGCTATCTGGCGAAATGCAAGCAGACACGAACAGTTCTCACTGCAGTAAAAATAGTGGGAGGAAAAAGATTGGTGATGTCTTCGCCACAACGGTTCTCACAGCAACAGAGAAGAACTGCATCACTCGCAGGAAAAAGCTGCAGTGACTTTTAGGATTTTTCTTTAACATGTTTTGCATAAGCCACCTCCCTTTTGGAGCCTGCAGCAGTTCTGAGGCTAGGCATAATCACTGGGCATCTCTTCTGGGCAATGAGGTGAGGATGCTTCAAAGTGTAGACGGTAATTCAGGGAGAGGAATTAAAGAGCTAGGTTTTCTATTTCCCCCTTAATGATAAGCGTTCAGAAAGTGTCGTCACTTCTGACTAAATAGCTATTTTGGGCTGTCATTGTTTGTGGCTTTTTTAGGAAGAAAAGAAGACAACCTTAGCTTAAGCTGGAGATTGTTTAGCAATGAAAGAGAAGGGAGCCGCTTAATTTGATTCCCAGCTCTGTCTGTCATAGCAGACTAGGTAATTACAAACTGTAAGTACTTGTACCATAACTGTGACATCCAAGGCAGTAGAAAAACAACATGGATGCCCAGCTCCTATCATTCAACAACTTTTATTAATGGCTTTTTTAAAAAAAAGCAGAAGCTGTCATAATGCCTCCCTCTCCAGAGGTCATAGCAGGTTACCTCTCCTGTAGCTCTTCCCAGTCAGTGAATACAAACACAATAACTGGATGCTGTGGGAAAGGGGAAGTGTTTTAAACTGCCTTTCTCCACTAGGTTTCAGATGATTCTTATGAAATATTTTTTTTCAATAAGTGAATTGTTGTTAGGTAATTTTTTAATTAGGGATTGGAATAAAAGGCACATTGTCTATTTTTATTGTTATTTTAATAGCCTCCAGACTTTTGGATATCCCACTACAGGAAAAGCAAAGGGAAGACACAGGAAATGTTACAAAATCAGATAAGCACACATTGTTATTATTAAGGCATCTATATTGGCCTGTGCTTGGGGTTTTGACAGGATACACCCTCAGCTGCAGTCACTAAGAGCACCACCTGTGCATATTCATTATATTCCCTTTTAAAGGGGTCCTGCCCTCCCTCCCTCCCTCCCTCTCTCTCTCTCTCTATCTCCCTCCTCTCTCCTCTCTCCTGCTGCTACTGTCCCAGGAGGCTGGTCTCCCCACTCCCTCTTTTCCTTTATATAATCCTTTCCTCCCCTACCCAAAAAAAAAAAAAAAAAACCCTCTGCTTGAACCCTGTTGCATGCCATCTTTCTCTTGTGTGCTGCTTTTCTTAAATTACAACACACACTGGTAGGGAATGGACCAAAGTGAAGTCAGGAAGACCTTGCATGGGCTTCAGCTATGGCTTTGAACTGTATACATTTTAAAAGAAAACTTACAGCCTTAAGACTTGTTTTAAAACTCTCAAGTTGGCTTACCTATCTCATAGAATGCCAGTGCAGAGATGGGCTATATACTGCACCTCTACCTTTTAGTTTACGTATATAAGGATAGTGACCATTTTCATCTTTTACTTGTAGGAAATAAGGTGTTAACTTGAATCACAGAGTTCATTGGAAGTGTTCTGTATTGAAGTACTGGTGAGATGCCTCAGCAGATAGACACGCTTGCACCTGAGTCTGACAACCTGGAACTACAGGATAGGAAAAGAGAAGCAATCATGAAAGTTGTCCTTAACCAACACACATACACATATGCACATGCACACACACACCATGACACACACAGACCATAGCATGCCTCCTCGAAACACACAAACACAGTAAAGTAAGTATAAATTTTTAAATGAGTCCTCCGTTTTCATTCAGAGATTATATTGTGATAGTATATCCACAAAAAAAGAGCGAGCAACATTGGCAATTGTAAAAGAAAATTGTAACTGGCTAAATAGTCTAGGAGTGAGAAGAGTAAATCTATGTTTCAAAACAATGAGAAATCCCAGAAAATCTCATCCATATCAAATCTTTTGCCATTTGAAAAGTAGGACTATGTGTTACTCATAGGGTGGTTGGGAACAGTAAAGATGAGTCATACAAGTAAAAACCTAGGTGAATCAATGAGTTAAGTATAAAATCCCCAAACCACGAACTTATTAGAAAAAAACATAGTTTTGACTTTGTATAATATTGGAGATGGGACTGAAACTACACTAGAAAAGGTAATTATGATCATGAAAAAATGCAAACCTTCTGTTTTGGTAAATTATATATAATAGCAAATGAAAAATTAGCTAGATATCAGCAACATATTAGATTGGAAATACCTTAAAGGAACTTTCATAAATCACTAGGGAAAAATAAAGTGAATTTTTAAAAGTAAATGAAAAAGTTAATAATTTACAAATGACTATAAACATCTTAAAAATGTTCCAACTCTTACGGAACTGCATAAAAATTAGAAAACATTTTTATTTTACTTATTTTGTTTTCTGAGTCAGGGTTTCTCTGTGTATGTAGCCCTGGCTGTCTTAGAACTTGCTCTGCTTTGGGAACATAGCACGAAGTTCCTCTACAGAGAAACCAGGAATGTTAAACAAGCACAATTGTCTTTCTAATGGAAAACTGAAGAACCGGTTCTTCTATCCAGAAAGCTGAGAATTAGAAGTGATCAATGTTCTCTGTTGGTCCTGATCATATCAAGCTCTTACAACCAAGACCTCTGGTGGCCAGTAATCTAAATGATCTTCATAGCCAGAGGCTACCCCCAAATTCCCCCAACCAGGACCAGAGGTGGCTAATAGCATGAATGACCTCTAGCTATCTGTATGCCTGAGGCCAAGCCAGACCCTTAGGCCCTTAAGCTAGTACAGGCAGTATGTCTCAGAACCCACCTTCTTTAAGAAATGGCTGTACCCTGCATTGAGTTTCAATGTAATTATGTTTCCTTGTGCAATGGGGATTGAACTACACAGACACACAAAGAAAACTTTTTCCAAATTATATAGACTCTTTGAAGTCTCATCTAGGTTAATTAAATCATTCTGCACCCGGTTTTCATCCTTATTTCTTCCAGTGGTTTGCTTCCCTAAATGTCACTTGCAGAGACCACCTTAGCTCTGTAGACCAGGCTGACCTCAAACTCAGAGATACACCTGCCTCTGCCTCCTGAGTGCTGACATTAAAGGCAAGCACCACTACAGCTTGGCTTAGAAAGCATTTGTTTGTTTGTTTGTTTTTTCAATTATTTGATTTCTTTCAAGGAAATGATTTAACCTTTAAGAATATGATCTAAACACATTGAATGAAACAAAACTCAAAGATCTAACAAAAATGTTTAAAAAAAAAAAAAGAAACAAAGAATTCAACCCAGGTGGTGTGTGTGTGTGTGTGTGTGTGTGTGCGCGCGCGCACGCGCGCGCGCGCATGCGTGCATGCATGCACACATGCACTTGCATATGCACACACTGTGCTGTTGTTTAAATGGTATATATACTTGTACACATAGGGGCCATCATGTAGGTAAGGAAGTTGCCTATACATATGCATGTGCATGTATGTATTAAGTATCGCTTTAGTTTTTTGAGATAGGTTCTCTCAGAGAGTCTGGAACTCACAATTTGGTAGGCTGGTTGGCCTCTGAGCACAGGGGATCTATCTGACTCTACTTCTTCAGCCTTAGGATTATAGGGCTCTCTATCATATCTGGATGTTTTTGTTTCTCCTACAGGTACTAGGGATCTGAACTTAAATCCTCATGCTTTTGCTGCAAGCACTTTACCAATTGAGCCATATCTCTACCCCCTGGTTTGAGAATTCTACAAGTCTTTAAAATATAACTTAGGGACTAGAGAGATGGCTCAGCATTTAAGGGTGCTTGCTGCTCTTGCAAGGGACCTGAGTTTGGTTCCCAGAATCAACTTTAAAGGTAGGAGAGTAGACAACCAACTGTAACCCTAACTTCAGGGGATCTAATGACCTGTTCTGGCCTTGGTGAACATCTGTATATGCATGTGTGTATGCATAGACACACACATCCCAGATAAACACACACACACACACACACACACACACACACACACAGTTAAAACTGAAATGAATCTTTAAAATAATGAATATTTGTAACAGAAAAATATAAGGCAGTATGAAGGTATAATTTGTTAAAAATACAAAAATAATAGAACT